CCCACCACACAGATACTAGTCCACTGTCCCTGTAGCTGGATCTACGGCACAAAGTATACACATGGCAGTGATTGGAGGGGGCAACACCTGCAGGTGAGCACCCAGAACAAGCTCTAAGGGGAGCAGAAGAGAGCCTGTGAGATAACAAGGGATGTCACATAAACCCCAGGAGATTCTGTGGGACATGTTCCACAGACTGAGGTCTTAGACTCTAAAGGGAGAAGGTCTCCTGGAACTGGTTGTGGAACCCTCTAGCTGGAGAAAAATATTGAACCATAGTTCTAATGGTATTTGTCTGCTTTACCTTCTTCTATTCCTTTTCTATATTTATGAGATGTTCTTGATAGCCTGGGCCAAGATTTTAAGCGAGAAAATTGAATGAGAAGCCACCCCTTGAAAAGGGGCCACTGGCCATGACCTCTTCTCTGAAAGATTCAACGCTTTGCTTCATGATCATTTACATAATTGCAAAATAATACTTTGTATATATAACTCATTATATATATTCCTATAATATATGAATTTTTATGGCTGTGCGTGTATAGATGAGGTTGGCTATGACATTGGGGTATAGAAAGCATTGTTTAAGTAGAGTTTTACTTTGAACTTTGAGGATTTTTAATAAGACAGCAGCTAAATGTTAGATAAGGATTACTCATGGAAATTTATTAACTTGATAAGGACCTAGGGGTCATAACCAAGTGCCTTAAAGACTTTTTAAACTTGCTTCTAAAAGTTTGCCATTAATTATAAGTGATTTTTGGATTTTGTTTTGTTTAGTGATTATGATGGTACCTGTTCCATTCATAATTGATGCTTCAAACTCACTGTTATGAAATGTGATACCTGATTGATTTTGTGTTTTCTTGTGTTAGATGATTGTGATAATTATTCTTTGTGACCACTTCACTGCACACATCTTTTAGAATTGTAATACCTGTTTTTCTTGTATAAAAACCCCTGCTTGAGAGGTGCAAAATACACTGATTCAAACTGCCTCTGTGTTTGTTTCTGTTTGTCACTGCCGAATTCTTACCCACCTAATCTTCCTAGAACCAAGTCCCAGGAAACCCCATACCTGGCTGGGGGGGTGGGGGTCAGTGGCAGAGGGATGGCTCTAAGATCCTTGGGAACACTGTGGGAGGGAAATCAGAGGCTCCTCTGTGAGTGAGAGAATGGCCACCCCATCATGGGAAGACAGAGAACCCAGACACTCAGTTCTCCAAGGCTGCTCTGCAACCTCTTTTCCAAAAGGCGCCTCCCTAGCTGTCTTCAAGCCCTGCAGACTGCAACACTGGGCCCTTCTGGGTGCAGTGGGTCCACTACTACCAGAAGGAAAGCAAAGCAGCCCCAGTGCTACTGGACAGTGAGGCTGTTACCAGAACTATGAGACAGAGTGTCGTTGGGACCCTTAGCCAATTGTATTGTAGCAGCTTGGCCCAATGGGCGTGGTCTTCTCTAACAACTGGAAGCAAGGGGTCAGGCTTTCTTGGAAGGTGGTTGAGCTGGCAGCTACCCATGGCTTGGAGCTTCCCCATCACCTTTTGGAAATGAGATTGCAGAGCAGCTGGAGACATGGCCCGGATTCTTCATTCTGTCTTGTAATCGTTATGCATGGATTTTGATATTAATAAAAGGTAACACAATCCCCAGATTTCCCTTTAACACAGCTCTGTAGTGGTATATCATTTATATTTTGATAAATAAATCTTTCCTAAAGATCAGAGGCAAAGCTAAAGCCACTAGAGGTGAGGTAATGGTGACACACCTTTAATCCCAGAGTTTGTCAGACAGAGGCAGATGGATCTCTGTGAGGTCAAGGCTACTCTGGGGTACACAAGATCAATGTGGAAAGAAATCCAGGTGATGGTGGTCTACACCTTTAATCCCAGGACTAGGCAGTCACACCTGAAATCCCAGCACTAGAGGAAATATAAAATGGGAGGAGAGAGGGGTTTAGTCTGCTTAGTCTGCCCAGCCTTGGTAGAAATAAGACTTCCCTATTGGTTTGGCTGCTTTGCTTTTCTGGTTTTCGGTTTAAACCCCAAAAGCTATATCTAGGTTTGTATTATTCATGCTGCACAGCCCTAGGCTTAAAGTAAAGCAGGAGCAGAAGAGGGGCAAGGGGGCAGAGACCCATTAGGCCCCCCCAGCCTGAGGCCAGGAGAACCCCATCTGCTTGATTCCCCTGCTGGGAGCTTGAGCTGGAGACAGAAGCATGTGAAGGTAGGTGGGGATTGATTTAGGCTCAGAGCATTTCTTACAACACAGAGAATGAGAAAATAATAATGATTTTTAAAAACCCCTATAGTATGCACCGTGATGAGCTTGGGCTCTGGAGCTGAACTGTGTGGGTTCGAATTTCAGCCCTCCTCCTTGCAGACAGTCTCTGCACTCTGTTTCTGAGTCTGCAGCTGTAGCTGATGAGCATGAGGATCTAAAAGGCATCGTGAGGATAAAAGGTGTTAAGATGACCAAGAGCTCAGGCAGGCGCCTGGCTTATAGACAGCGTGCAGAAACACCAGTTAGTATTTTATCCGTGGTTAGTGATTTCTCTGGTAGATCCCAGTGAGAACTGGAGAGCTACCATTGTTCCAAATAGTGACAGCGACCATAAGACTCCTGTCATCCCCAGTCTTCTTGAGTCCCTGGGAAGCATTCAGGTCAACATTCTGTCTTCACTGATATATTCATCACTCACTCACTCACTCACTCACTCACTCACTCACTCACTCACTCACTCAGAGAGCATTAAAAAAGCCCTGTAAGTATGCACAGTACCCTCTACCTGGTCACTGCTCGTGACCTTGGGTCTGGAGACCCTTTTCCTTACATCTCCACTCTCCTTGACCTCGAAGGTGACAGGAGACTCTCTCATTTCATCTGCCTGCTCTGTGCCTAGTGCTGAGTCTAGGACATGTGGCGGTCACCACATAAGGTATAGAGGAGATGCCTCTGGTTGATGGAGAAGATTGGCACTTGTGTGAAGACAGTCTAGGGTATACAGCAAATTCTAATGCAGCCAGCACTAATAGAAAGACCTTGTCTTTAAAAAAAAAGTTACTTAAATTATTTGTAGGTAGACTGGTGAGACAGGTTGCTCAGCAATTAACAGTACTTGCTGCTCTTGCTGAAGACCTAAATGTGGTTCTCAACATCCACATGTGACTCATGAACCCCTGTATCTCCAGCTCCAGGAGATAAAAAAACACACTCTTCTGGCCTCCCGGGGGACACATAGACAGACACACACTTATAAGAATTAAATAAATCAATGACGACCATATTGGGTGGGTAAGTGGTTTGATGTCCTGGAGTCAAACCAGAGACAACTGCTGGCAAGTCTCTCTTCTCATTCTGTCTCTTGGGTTGCTCTGGTCTGGGTGTCATGGCTGCTAGTGTGACAGCTGTGAGGAACTGTGGGACACAGGCCTGAGGTCTAGCAACAAAGACACAGGAAAGCCCAGGAATGAGCAACGTGTTTCTTTCCTACACGGGCTGTAAAAAGTTACCAAAACTTCTTCCCATAGGCTTTCTCATCCCAAAGACCTGATGGGGGACTCTGTGTTATGACTCATGGTTTTAGAGGGTTTATCCCATTGTCATTGGTTAACTTTGTTTCTGGGCTTGGAAGGAGATCACAGAGGCTTCATGGTGGAAAAGAAGCAGAGGGAGCAACATGTAGGAAGAGACCAGGATGAGGTGTAGCCCCCAAGGAAGTGTCCCCGCTGACATACTGTCCTTAGTAAACCCCACGCTCAGTAACCCCACCGTGTTATGGATCTGCCATGAGATTGAGCTACCGACTGGGTCAGAGTCCTAAGGACCTGAGGTGTCACAGAGCTGTCACAGACCCCAGGGCTGAGCTTCACTGTCTCCCAGGCCTTTTTCAATCCACTGGAGTTGACGGTCAAAATGAATCATGATATTTGATGACATAAAATAGCTTGAATCTGGGATGGTAGTGGGGTTCAGCTGGTAAAGATTCTTGCCGCCAATCTGATGACCTCAGTTTGAGCTCTGGAACCTACCTGGTGGAAGCAGAGAACCAACTCCCACAAACTGGCTTTTGACTTCCACACATGCATTGCGGCATGTGTATCCCCCCTTCCCCACTCCTGCCCCTGTAATAAATAAATCAATTTATTTAAAAACAGCTTGAATCTGTTGTACTCCTCAGCATAGAAGTTTTAACTTAAATCCAGGCTCCTCCCAGCCCTGCTCCCTTCATCTCAGCCTTTGCCTTCCTCACCCCGATCCTGTCCTTCTGCTCCCCAGTCTTGCTCTGCTTAGGCCTCACAATTACATGGAGTCCAACAGATAACCCAGGGATCTCCCGTAGAAAGACCTTTAGCTGAATCGAACTACACATTTCTGCTTGCCACATGGGTTACAGAGATCAGGATCCTGATATCATTGTTGATGGTACTCAGTCAACCCCAACTCGCACCTAGTAGCAAACCTCAGCTCCAGGAAGGCTGTTTATGGACCAGGTGTCATCTTGTTCTTAAAGTACTGCAGGAGCTAGCTAGTTATAACAATGAGTCTGAAAGGTGAGTCTCAGAGAAAAATGACGCAGTATTGTGGTCCCGGGTGATGAATGCAGGGTCAGTTCTCTTGCATGCCAGGCTGTGTAGCTTGGAGATGGCCAGCTGTGGGTTGAAGAACTAGCCTGTAGATGGAGCCAGGTAAGGAGGGACAAATAGTGCCACTCCCCCATGAGTGTATGGGGGCCAATTACATTCAAAATACCACACATGATTCCAATCTCCAGAGTCTACAGGGTATAAAGAGCTATTTTCTGAACTGAACACATATGCCACAGCAAACGCGTGATCACATGTGTGTGCGTGCATGCACACACACAGTGAAAACCTTTTGGCTTCCACTCACTACAGGCAAGTCTACTCTAGGACTGTACCGAGAGCAGAGAGCCCTACTTGGGTCTTCTGGACTCATTCTTGGTAGCATGTCTTATTAGAAACAGGAGTTGGCTTTTCTGACTTATTGATAAGTTTCCAGTAGTTTATTTCCTTGCACGCTCATCATCTCTTTACAGACACAGCACCAGGATGTTTTCCTGGGCATAGATACAAGCATAGTGTAAAGTGTTCACTGACTTCCATGGGCCTCTGTGTCTGTTAATACTCAGCCACTACAGTGCTCATGTTTTTAAGAAACATGCCTTGTTCAAATTTGAATATGTCCTTCGCAATCCCAAGGGACTCAGCATCCAATGGAGGCTTCCTCTGGCTTCCAGGCTGGAGAAATCTGTTAATTGTAGGGATCTGGCTGGTTCTGACCTTGAAGTCCTGCAAGGTAAAAGGCCACAATCCTCGGTAAAAGGCTACAATCCACGATAGAAGAATGTAGCAAAGTAAATACAAGGAAGGTGTGTTCTGATGAATGAAAAAAAAAATGTGTGGAATTTGTATTCCCTGGAGAGATGGCTTAGAGGTTAAGGAAGTGTCCCACTCTTCCAGGGGACCTGAGTTCTGTCACCACCACCAGGTGGCTCACAGTCACCTCTAACTCCTGCTCAAGGGGATCTGACACCCTCTCCTGACCTCCTTCAGGGCACGCGCGCATGCATGCACGCGCGCACACACACAGGAGAGAGAGAGAGAGAGTGTATGTGAGCAAGTGTGTATATGTGAGTGTGTGTGTGTGAGAGAGAGAGTGAGTGAGTGTTAGAGAGTGTATATGTATGTGTGTGTGAGTGAGTGCACATTTCAAAAGAAACAAATATAATTTATTTTATACACTGTGGGAAAGGGTGAGGATACTGGAATTTTTATATATTTATTTATTTACTGAAAAAAATTTCTGCCTCCTCCCCACCTCCCATTTCTCTTCCCCTCCTCCCAGTCCTCTCCCCCTGCCCCGACTCCATTCCCCCTCCCTCTCCAGTTTGAAGAGCAGTCCGGATTCCCTGCCCTGTGGGAAGTCCAAGGTCCTCCCCCCTCTCCAGGTCCATGAAGGTGAGCATCCATAGAACCTTCATCTGGCGATGGATGGAGATAGAGACAGAGACCCACACTGGAGCACCGGACTGAGCTCCCAAAGTCCAAATGAGGAGCAGAAGGAGGGAGAACATGAGCAAGGAAGTCAGGACCGCGAGGGGTGCACCCACCCACTGTGACAGGATAATGGAATTTTCCTTCATTGTCTATGGTTGCCAAATGATAGTACCCTTGTACAAGGCAAGTTTCAATATTTTATGAGTAATAAAAGTATTCACAAGCTGTAATCAACTGATTTCATTTTAAGAATTATATCCTAATGTCTTAAATGTGAAGAGCCCACCCCTGTAATGATGCCATTGACATATTATCCATAAAAGCAACATCAGCACATCACAGCGAGTGCCACAATTAGGGGAGCCCTCACTTTTAGGCCACCAGTGTTTTCCTTGCTGTTATGTGATCTTTTAAACAACTTTAGGCGGCTGCATAAACTCAAACAGTGGGTACTTTTTAGTTTGTGTAGCCATCTCTCAGAGAGTCGGTGCTCCCCACTTTTACTGTTTAAGATAATCACAGTGAATGGAGCAGTACATGATCAGGAAATGCTCAGAAATATCAGTTAGGCAACATTGAAAAATATGAAGTGAACCAAATAGCTATTCCAAATAAGTTTACACTGTACTATGTAGTGAAAAAAATGAGACTTTAGAATTGTAGCAAGTCTTGGATATCTTCAATTTAGCTTTAAAATGATCAATGGGATTTAATCAATATGATATTTGTGTAATCAGACAGATTAAAGTGTGAGTCCCACTCCTTCTACCAACCCACAACGGAGAAGTTTCCTAACCTCCAAGTCCTGTCTCTTTACTCTGAGATGCATGAAATGAATGAGTAAAGGTGTATTTGGTTCTCGGTGCAGAGGAAGGACGGACGATGAGTTTCATCCATGGTGGCTGCTGGTCTTAAGGAAGGACTATGTTACATGGTGTTGTCTTACAGGCTCCTCCCCGGCTCCCAGGGAGAAAATCATCTGTTTATTCTTGAGAAAGGGCTCTTGCTCTGCACCCCACGGCTGACCTTGAACTTGAGATCCTCCTACTTCAGCCTCTACAGTGCTACAGCTGCAAGTGGGGGTCGCTGCAGCGGCTTAGGAAGCAACTTTATTATGGTTCTACTACAGGCCAGGCAAAACCACAGAGGCTCACTTCCTGCAGAAGCCTCCTTCAGGTCCTTGAGACAGTCCAGGTGGCCTGTACTTGCTTGTCCATGTTTTTACCTTAGCACACTGTGTGGAAGGTACCTGCCTGTGTGCTCCTTTTCTGGACTAGATGTGTTTAGTGATGGCATCTTTATATTTCTAGCACGGGATGTAGCACAAATATAAAAGTGAATTCTGGAACAATAAAGGATGACTGAGTGAGGGAATAAAACAATAACGCACAGTCATTCTCTCAGAAGCATTACCCGTAGCAGACAGAAGTCTGGCCTGCATCTTTACATTACCTGTAAATGAGGGAAGCCTGAGAGAACACTGGCCTTGCATTCTTCAGCCATTAAGATGACTTCAAGGAGTTGCACATCAGCCCAACTCAGCCGATTGCCCACGAGATAATGTTGCTTGTTGTCTCTTAGTGCCTGTAATGTGGTTGGGATGGAGGAGGCAGAAGGTGAGGGCCACTCTCAAAAAGTTAAGTGTTACTAGTTTGGGAAATTTTTGAGAAGTTAGACCTATTTGTTAATCTGTTGTTGTTGTTGTTGGGGTTATTTTTGTCCCCAGCTAATAACATGAACTTAAGTCCCATCCCTAGCTTAATTTAAGCCTTATCCCAAATCTCTTAGGATTTCAGCTTAGCTTCAACCCTCCAGTGAGCTGAGCACAGAAAACGGTTTAGACTCATACTCTTTCGCCTCCTTTTCATCTCATCTCCCCGCACCTATCCACAAGTTATGCAGCACCCTGGCTGGTGGCTTTTCTGGGCATGTGGTGACAGTCTGTCCTCACCCCATGTCTGGGCGGTGTCCTTGGGTGTGCTGTTCTTTAGAAGGCTCCTGTGTACAGGGAGAATGTCCCCCTCTAAGTACACAAGCCCAAATTTTATTAGCAAGTGTTCTTTCAACAAATCTATGAATATTGTGTCATGTCGATTTAAAATCAATGGAATACAAAAATGGAATAGGCATCACTGGTATATATCCCAGCCCCTAAGTCCATGTTGTATTATAGACTTAGACATGGGATAAGTGTCTGTAGAGCTGTGAATGCAGGTGTTGACTTTTATCAATCTGGCATTCGTCAGGTTGTTCTATGTCACGATTTCCCCATCTATAAGTGGAGTGATAACAGCACCTCTTTCTTGGAATTAATACAAATATTAGAAGGCAGTGCTTGCAAAATGCATATGGCCCCACCCTTGGCCTTCAGTAGAGATGAGTCATCATTGTTCCTGGCTTTGTTGTTAGAAATGTTGGGACTGTCACCTCTTCTCTCCATGAGTGACGCCACTGTGCTTCATAGTATTATAAGGGAGGGGGGCTGGATTGGAAATCGTAGTATTTGAGGATAAAGCCTTGCACATGTGACGGTTTTATCCTAGGTTTTAATCTCTATCAGCAGCACAAAAAAAGCAAAATAAGAAGGGAAAATAGTGGTATTAACCATCCATGCTATTGGCACTAGTTTTTAAAATTAGAAAGCAAACTATCTTAAATTGTGTGCAAATCACAGATGGATATACTTTAAATGCCTTTGAAAGACATTTGTACTGAGAAAGCCTGCAGCGTTTAGGATTTAGAGTTTGATACATTTTGGACCAAAAGGACAGAAAATGGATTGCTAAACGTTAAGAGAAAACTATAACTCAGGAAGGCCGGGTACCTGTAATTTGTGACACAGGCATAGTAACAAATAATATGCATGACCATGATGTGTTCATGATCAATACATGTAAACGTGGGTACTAATCATTCAGTTCTAAGCATGTTGCGCAACTCAGAAAAGACAATGAAATCAGTTTGCAAGTGAGTTCAAAATATGCATCTGATTTTGTTTTAAGCGAGGGTCAAGTTTTCGGCATTCACCCACAGTGGAAGGAAGAAATGTTAGTCATGCAAGTGAAGGGAGATGGTCAAGTTTGCACAGAGGGTTTGCAATCTTTCATCCACCAAAGGAACTCTGCTTTCAATTTCATTTGATGATTTTTTTTTTCCTCTTTGATGCAAACCAGAAAACAGCCAAAGATTGTTGCTCACCTTCTCATAAACAGGAAAGAATCTTGTCATGGCTCGATGGAGGACGTAGTCATGATTCATCTCCTTCTCCTCCGGCAGAGAGAGGGGAAGGAACATAATCATGTCACTCAGATCCCTCAGGCCTTCCACATACATATCAATCCTAGAGAAAATAAGATCATTTACAGAAGAATTACCAATACCAGGAAGAACATTCTATGGACCAATGACACATTTTATATAGTGTCTACCTCGTCTGCCTGGTTACTGGGGGTCCATGAGGGGTATTGTTTCATGAGCTCCAGTCATGTATTTATACCAGCAACTGGTTCCTTGAGGATACTAATAAAGCTCAACGGGACACAGGTGCAGTGGTACGAGCCTGGAATCCTAGCGCGCAGAAGTCTGAGGTGGGAGGGTCCTGAGCTAGGTAGCAAAACTCTGCCCCCTAATTAATCTGGGAAATAAGAAGAAACATCGCACCAAAGTGTTTGGGCAATGACATGTGTGTTCACATTGATCATGAAGCACTGCTATTAATAAAATGTGAAGTGCTTATACAAAGTATTAAAGTAACAATGAAGTAATGCATTGAGTAAATAAATATGTGTGGTATTTACCAATTTAATATAGTATACATCTGGGAGAAGAGGTATCTAGGGACCTCTGTCTTGTCTAAAACCTCTCTGCATAAAGTCAAGATTCTTAATCATCTAAAACATCATTTTAAATGGCACAGAATTTGTTCCACAAGTCTCCACTTGCTGCTGCCCACAACTTTTGGGAGGCCCTGCTGGTCAGACATTGCAGTCTGCCATGGCCTGGCAGTTTTCTCCGTGCTGGGCAACATGAGGACTCCCTCCCCTGCATGTGGGTGGAGGGTGGAGGTGGCTTCCTGCTCTCTACCCTACCTTATCTGGAGAATATTTCTAGACCCGGATGGCCGACTCATCTCTAGTGTGACCCTTGACACAATCCCCTGCAGAAGCTTCCCCTGATACCCATATGGTAATTAGACTTGCACTAGGACCCTTATGCTAGGCACCTGCTGTTTAATGCAAGTTAGGTGACACCCCAGCCTCTGTCCCCATCCTTTATATTTCCCTTCACTCTGAAATCAAGTTGAGCTGTCTCACCAAAACTGTCTCCCCGAAGGATATTTATACCATGTTCATAGGCTATACAAAGCTCTCTATTGCCACTTCTGTCTCTCTGTCCTCCCAGGCTGGTGGCCAACAGACCATGAAGGAAGAGGGGACCCCACACACAATCTGCGAGAACGAATGGAAAGACAGACACCGAAGCACAGTGACGAGAATCTTGGGGTCCCACAGAATGTCTAAGTCCTGATCTAAGGTGCATCTCTGATCTTTTTGAACCTCTGGTTCTGTAGCTTTGCCCTGAGATAGCGAGCACCCAGTGTCTGGAAGGTAGTCTTAAATTTTCGTTGCCTCTGCCTTCCATTGCAATGGGGCTCAGTGATTCTGTTGAACAGTAAAAAGCAAAGATTGATGTCTTTCAGCTTCCACCAGATTATCATTTTACATTTGCAGTTAGCTTCATTTTAAGACATCCATGCTGAGAATCACAGGATTTGAGGAAGCCTCATCCAGCCACATGGAAAGAGAAAGAAATGCCTGGCCATGTATTCAAATGTCCCAGCCCACGGCCCAGACTTAAGAAAGCACTACTGCATGAGAAAGTCTGAGGACTGCCAAGCTGAGGCCTCAGCTCACAGATCTGAGAGAGTGACTGTTCTGTAGCAGATTCCCAAGAGGATCACTCAGAGTGTCAGGACCACTGTGGGATTATGTAGGTATAGAGTTGAAAGTATACAACAGCATATACAAGGCTTTATCATCATAATGGTGTATCAATGAAATCACTATGAATAAATTACCATCTCACCTCCAATTTATACACATTAGGTCTGTGACATATCTACTTTAAAACCAGTTCATGCTAAAATTAACATCAGCTCCATAGGGAAATGGCTGGGTCCATACCTGGAATGAGAGATGCCCAGGGCTGATCTGGATCCTCAGGTAAACATACAAAGGAGTTACCAGAAACCATTATGGTAAAGTAAATTATTCTGAGGAGTCATTAGGCCCCACTGGCCAAAAGTAGGACATTTTGAACAAAAATGAGAATAGGAACTGAAATAAAATTAAATATATCAAAAAATGCTTAAAGGGAGAGTGACGCTAAAATGATAAATATTAATACATAAAAATAATAAAATAAAAATTGGTCTCTGTCACAGAATACAGGTGAGCCCTCTCATTTGTGGAAAACAGGTAAAAATCCACCGTCAATGCTCTTTTTTTGGTATAGGAAACCATGCCTCCATGTACTAGATAGTAAATGAGGGAAAACTTTTTTATATCTAATTACTCTAAATACTAAATGTGGAAGGAATGGTAGCATTGAGCACCAAAGCTACTACTAATATTATTAAAGATGGATATACAGACAGTTTCTACTTCTTCCTAGAGGAAGAGCTGTAATAGCCTTGCAACAGCCTCTAGATCCCGAGTCTTAGCATCTCTCCAGATGCAACCAGCAATGCACAAACATGCAAAGACAGAGGAACACAGTAAACTGCGGTGCAGCAAAACAGCCAGAAGAAACTTGGCAAAGACGACTGGAGGGGGCAGTGCTTATAGCAAATACTTAATGGCTTACTTAGGGCACTCTGAAGATTGGCTCTGTGTCCGTTTTTTTTTTTTCCTGGACATGTCTTAAAATGCCATTTGATATAAAACAATGCCACGACAGTCACTTAAAATACAGCTCATCTAGTATTAAGGGATGGCTTTTCTCCCAACAACAGTGTTTATCAAATACACACAATAATTTTCAACTTAAAGTTGCTGCTTTTCCTCCTAGGTAAGATACAAACTTAAGGCTTAGAGTCATAGAAGGCCTAGTGATTGCTGGGGCGATTGATATTCTGTTTAGGAGGCCAGGGGTGGAGTGAGTTTGGGGGTGGGGCAGCTGCTGTAAGCAGAGCTCGGATGAGGTGGTTTCCTACAACCACTTTGGATTTACAGGGTTAAGTGAACCCTAGCCTCCAAATAAATGCATGAGTGGGTTTTCTTTATTTTTGTGTACCGTTCCCACATGGTAGAGGCAAACATGGATTTATGAAAACATAGCTAACTCCCCCTACTAACGATAGCCAGACAAATAAATAAAAAAATTTGGAACCCTATTATTAGTAGTTACCCAAATGAATTCTTGCTGAAGGTAAATATTGTGGAATGGGCTATCATGGCATCTTCCTCTTTGGAACTGGTTACAATAGATTCTTCCAGTCAAGAACAAAAGCAGCCTTTGTTTCACTCTATCTAGAACTATACTATGAACATGGCTTCTAGTGATGCTAAATGTTAGTGTTCTGGTTTGGGTGGTTTTGCTGTTATTATTGTTGTTGTTTTACTTTGGCTCTTGCTCTAAGTAACAAACAGTCTTTTTTTTACCAGGCCTGTTCTTCCAGGTTTCTTCCATACAAGCCGTACTTCGCAGCTATGTATCTTAAGATGGCTCTTGTTTGCACCAAATTCATTCCGTCCATTTCAACCATGGGCACTTGTCCATACATCAGGGTCCCACCTTGAAATGCACAATGAGACGCTAGATTATTTCCCGCTCTCCAGAGTGGTAACTACATTTCCTTTCGTTCTAAATGCTTTATGAGATAGGACCATAGAATCCATTTATCAAAGCACTTCTAGAACCTAAGAGGAGAAAGATACATTCTTTAATCAAAAATTATATAGAGGGCAAAACATGACAGCTGCTGGGAGTTATGAGACTTTGCGGGGGGGGGGGGGACAAAAGCCTGAGAATAATATGAACAAATACTCTTGTTGGTAAGGCCTGGGAGAATGTAACTCATTTTTGGCAAGGCCAATAGATAGTTCGTTGTATAATTCTGGGCATAACCCCAAAAGCCTAAGTGCTACCTGTTCTCTTTGCTTCCCTTACACAAATTGTCTTGCCTGCTGCCTCTAGTTTCAGGTGTTTTTTTTTTCTTTTTGAGCCATAGATGAAATGGCTATTGCATTAAGAAAACTTTGCCCTTATGACTCTCCTCTGGGTAAGCTAGAGAAGATGTTGTTAAAAATATACAGTGAGCCAGGAAGTGGTAGCACATACCTTTAATCCCAGCACTTGGCAGGCAGATTTATGTGAGTTCAAAGCCAGCCTAGTCTACAAAGTGAGTTGTAGGACAGCCAGAGCTGTTACCCAAGAGAAGCCCTGTCTCAAAAAAAGAAAAAGATATATACACTGGACCTGATTCATCCCCTAAAGCCTTTCATGTTTCAAGTGTGACCATGAATTCAGGATTCTGAAGAACAGGATGTTGCCTTTCTATCGCACCTTGTGACTAGTCTGGAGGAGTCACGGTAGTTCATGGCGTTATTACAAATTTCCATAATTGTTCTGGAGAGAATGACTCTAACCATAAGAGTCTAAGAGAAATGATAATAAATAGATGATATCAGGAGTTAATGGGAATAATCTAGGAACAGGGAATGAAGCAAAATCATAGAAGCCAATCACCCTCATTTGTAATAGTTGTGCCAATACTGTAGGAGTCAACGCTATAGGAAGCAGAAAGGGGATATGAGAACAAGAAATAAGCAATGCCAACTATTAAGAGTATGGTTTTAAGTTATGTAGTTTACAGGATGATAGGAGGAAAATTGGTGTATCCCCCTTAGGAGACAGAGTAGTTCAGAGTGAAGACTGGATTGATCCAGTCTTGGCTGATAAGTTGATGATGAGAACTTAGATTTGACCAGAGGTAAACATTAGTCACTAGAGACAAAATTTTCTTTTACTTTGCATGATGCTGTAACTGCAAATGCTGCCAGCTAGACACACTGTTCTACCTGCAGGTGTGCCTACTTAGAAAACTTCCTTTGTAGCTTGCAACACTGTTTATGCTTTTAACATTGAGCATGAATCAAGTAGGTAGTGGTTCTGGTAGGAAAGTTGGGAGACAGAAGGGGAATGAGGTAAGGGAACAAATGGGCAATTGTTTCAATTATTATTAGAAACTTAAGGAAACAAATATGATTGCAAAACTATTCATGCAGCCAGGTCTTGCACCTTTATTCCCAGCACTTGGGGGACAGAGGCAGGTGGATCTCTGTAAACCTGATCTACAGAACAAGTTCCAGGACAGGCTCCAAAGCTACACAGAGAAATCCTGTCTTGAAAAACTTAAACAAAAACTATTCATGCAAACTATTGAAACTGTATGAATAAAAACGGTTCAATCTGTCCAGAGCCACTTGTTTGAAACAGGTGATCATTTTGTCAACTTCACACATCCATCCCAGGTCATTGGACCCATTAGGAACAAGGCTCCTAATAAGTATTTGATATTTGGGGTCAATTTTGAGATATTTTGGGAAATTTTGGATTCATGTAGATGCAAAGCATTCCCTTGGACCAGTGTTCCCTCTACTTTCATAGTCTCTTTCCCTAAGGCCATACCACTCATTTAGATACCCTTTACCTTTGACCCTGGGCAGCATCCTCTGTTGTCATTCTGAGTTCAGTCTCCTTACCCATTCCTCCTCTGCATCTGGTTGTCTCCTGAAGTCTTATGCTGTACCACTGTTTAGTTCTTTCTATCATTTGCCATTGCTTTCCAGAAAACACACATAAATTTTGACCCTCACTCTGAATGCAGTCTTTCTTGAAATTTGCTCTTCTGTACATAAGCTCCCATCCAGGTGATGTTTATTCTGGGCTTATATCTTCAATGTTCCCAAGATGCTTTGTAGCAAAGTAAACCAACCAAGAAATCACAACAGAATAAGGAGTGTAAGGTGGCAGTGGCTCTTTGATTAGAAAGAATTCTGTCTCTGTCTCTCAATCTCTGCCTCACTCTCCACATACACACCACCCCCAAGGAGGGCAACAGTGGAGCTTGTCCTGTTACAATCTTTGAAGTTGGGTGGGTTGGGCCAGTCTCCTCTCATCAATTTGGATCTAACCAGGAGGCCAAACCATACAACTTACTTAGCAGAGAGAATTTAATATAAAGATGTTCATTGTGCATGGTGGTGTTTATCTGTAATCCCAGGACTCAGGAAGAGTGCAGGTTCAAGGTCACTCTCAGCTACATAATGAGGTCTTGTAGCCTAGATTACATGAGACCCTGTCTCAAAAGGCCAAAACAATAAATCTTAAAAATAAATAATAAAGACAGTAACTTTTTTATCCTAGAAAACTGAAAAAATAACAACAGGGAAGTACCATGAAGCAACTGCAGAAAGGATCACTGCGAACTATTGGGGGGGAGAACGTCAAAGTCATAATTATCACAACTTGGAAAGTTTGGAGTGTATTCCTCCTTCTTACAAGGTGTAATGGTCTGTCCTGTCCCTTTATGAGACAAACCCTACCTACTACCTCCCCTGTCCCCTGGGGCAAGCAGATCTACCTTCAGCTTCCTGCCTGAGCTCCTTCCTTTCTGTCTCTCTCCTCAAGAGGCAGCTTCTGCCTCTCTCCCTTCTCCCTACTTCTACCTTTCCTGCCTCTCCCCCCCCCTCTCTCTCTCTCTCTCTCTCTCTCTCTCTCTCTCTCTTTCTCTCTCTCCTTCTGTCTGCTCTTCCCCCTTTCTCCCCTTCCCTCTTTTCCCTTCCCTTCCACAACCCACTAAATAAATACTCAACCTCACTCTGCATGGCGTGCCTATCCATGTCTCTGTCTCTCAATCACCACGTGGCTCCCTGCCTGGAAGCTGCTGACACTCATGGCCTGATGCTGCACCCCTTGGAGAGCTGAAGCATTTTATTTTTACCATAACACATGGCTCAGGATCTGCCTTCCTTACATAGAGATAGGGTCCTGGTGGTCACTGTCCACATGACTTGCACTGCGCTCTTGGAATACTAGAGAGATGAGCAGAAGGGGCCTTTCACAGTAGGGGATGACAACAGGTCTCAGGCAACACTGGGAGTGAAAGGATTTTCTCTCACCTTGGATTAACTTCTCAAATTCTTCACGGTTTTCAAAAAGTTTTTCTTCAAACTAAATAAGGCAAAGAACACAGAACGTAAGATTATGTTGTATATTGTTATTGTGGAATGGGAAAGTTAAATAGGATTAAACAGCCTAATCTCCTGTTAGACCAGGACTTCAGTATGCAGGACATGGTTTTTTGCTCAGCATTCTTGAACACTTAGATGGTGTTAAGCTTGTGTGAGGCCGCCTTTATTCCTGATTCCTGAAGACTTGAACTCTGAAATTCAACCACTGATTATGGATTACAGGTTTGGGAGACTCTCCCCACCTTATAAAACAAAGGATGGATACCAAAACCTACCTTCTCATTCTTTCAACATAGTAACAAAACTTTTATACTTGTTATAGAAGGCTTCATAGAAAACCTATATTTAAAAGTATTTATTGCTCCTCAAAACAATGAGAGGGTTTTTGATGAGTAAGTATTGAGTTCACTTAATCTTCTATGCATGTCTCATATAAAATTTCATATTCCAAAGTAAGAATCCACAAAAATAAGATTAAAACTTATTATTAAAGTATTAGTAACCCATCTCTCTCTTACACAGAGACATATACTCCATAACTCTTTCTTCATCTATCACATCTAGCCAACCTATCCAACTCTACATGAATAGATAGCAAAAAACATAATATTGATTACAGGAAGAAAAAGATAGAATGAAATAGAAAAGGGTCATCTATATGCATTGTTCCCAGAGGCATACAAGAACAGGTTGGGAGACTAGATAAAGGTACAAAAATATAAAGGCTGGGCCGACAAGACAGATTTGTGCTCACTGAGCTGGAGGTGATGGTCCTACTGAATGTTGGCTTTCTTATTAATTTTCCTCTGTGGTTCACCAGGGTGAGGAAGGTCTGGCAGAGTTAGTAATAGAGAAAGCAGGTGCTCCTTATGTCTCCCTAGGTCAGGCTGCACAATAGGGAACACTGACACTTAGCTGGCTTTATTATGTCACACTCAGTCTAGAACCGAGGTCCTCATCTGCTACCCACATTCTGTTCGGTCCCTCTCCCTCACTTAACCTTCTCTGAAAATGGTGGAGGAAAAAGTAGGGAGCATTTGGTAAGATTTCTCAAGGGGTGGGCACTTGGTAGCATACTTGATGACCTGAACCCAATCCCAATATCCCACAAAGAGGAAAGAATCAATGCCCAAGAGTTGTTCTTTGCCACCACATGACTCTATGGCATGCACACTCCTGTACCCATGTGCACAAATGCACACACACACACACACACACACACACACACACACACACAAATTTTAAAAAGACTTCTCTATTTTTTGGAACCTTGGTTCCTTCTATTAGGGCTGAGACAGAATATACAGTCTCTATGAAGGCATGCTATTTTTATGTTAAAACACTCTGGGGCTGGCCATAAATTTAAAGAAAGTTCTCTAGTAATCCACCCTTGGAGATAAGACAGAATGTTTTAACCTATAGGCACAAGAGGGTTTTTTGAAATAAGATTCCAATAGCAATTAGAACTAATCAACAAATGGGATTTCAACGGGGGTGGTGGGGCTGGAGCATGCCTTTAATCCCAGCACTCAGGAATCAGAGGTAGACAGATCTCTGTGAGTTTGAGGCCAGACTGGTCTACAAGAGCTAGTTCCAGGGCAGGCTCCAAAGATACACAGAGAAACACTGTCTCAGAAAACAAAAAAAAAAAAATGGGACCTCATAAAATGAAAAGGCTTCTATAAATCAAAACAAACTATAAGCAAATGAAGGGGCAGCCCATGGATTGAGAGACCATCTCTTCCAGCTCTTCATGTGGCAGAGGATTAGTGTCTAGGGTACACCAAGCACTAAAATAATCAAACAGTAAATAATAACTTCACTAAAGACAGGCATAGAGCTGAATAAAGAAGGATTCAGGCTGGTGTGGGCAGGGGGTAGAAAAAATGAATGGGCAATGGGCTAACCGAAATTAAGAATACATGAGAAAACCTTTTGGAGATTTAGTAACTAGTAAGCTAACTTCAGACTATGACATTAAATGAGCAAATAAACAGAATGGAATTGCCCCACATTGGTGGACATGCTGCACCAAAAAGACAAGGATTGTAAAAGGAAAATCACACTGCAAGACATGGGACTCATCCCTACAAGTTATTGATCGAGAGGCCTCAGAAGTCTGTAAAACAACACAGGCTATCATCTTTGCTCTTGACTATATGTCATAATGGTATGGTAAACTTCATTGCTGAAGATATGGCACACTTTGTTTATAGAGTATAGAGAAATCAATTCAAATACACTGGTGAGCCTTTTCCCTGCTAGGTAGCTTTTGCTGTACTAGAACATGGCATGTGCGCCTAAAAGAAAAAAAAATCAATGGTCTTACCCAGTGCTGGATTCTACATGCTCTGGCACCAACATGCCAAGCAAGACACTAAACTAGTGGATATGATTGTTATGTGTCATATAACACTATGATATGACTGTCATGGGGTAGCTAATCACATTCTGAATGTATTGGAGGCCTGCTCTACAGGAATGAATCTCATGACTGGGTGTGTAATCCTGGTCAAATGCACATGGCTTGGAAAGTCATAGGCCTTGGGGTAGAACTTGCTATTGATATTTTGCTAAACGATCATGTTATCAAATTGACTTTTGAAAATAAATGTTATACCCACATACTCTGGGCCACACTCTGAGCCACTCTCAATTTTGGAAGGAAGAGATAGAGAGAACGAGAGAACTAAAAATGAAGGCATGAAGCTGGAAGGGGTGTCCTGGGGGGTATGATCATTGTTCATTCTATACATGTATGAAATTCTGAAGAACCAAGAAAGTTTATTAATTTTTATTTTTAAAAAGAGAGAGACGAAGATCAACTTGGGCTACATGGAGAAATCCTGTCTCAAAGAGTCATAAACAAAATATGTTAAATAAACAATTTTTAGTAATTTTCAATTTCATTAAAGTATGTGACAGCTACAATTTTAGTGGCAAAGACTATGTCCTTACATATCTTTGCTTATTTGTTTTTTTGAGACAGGGTCTCATGCAGGCTGTGTTGGCTTTGAACTTGCAGTGTCAGAGAGCATGACCTTAAACTCTTAATCCTCTTGTCTCCACCTCCCAAGTGCAGAGTTTACAGGCGTGTGCTGCTATACCTGGTTTCCATGAGCTGTTCTACACTTTTAAGTACAGTTATCAGAAGATGAGCAAGGTGGCTCCATGGGAAAAGGTGCTTGCTTCCAAACCTAACAACCCAGGTTTGATCTCCAGGATCCAAATGGTGGAAGAAGAAAGCCAAACTCTGGGGCTGGAGAGATGGCTCAGTGGTTAAGAGCATTTCCTGCCCTTCCAAAGGTCCTGAGTTCAATACCCGTCTACCACATGGTGGCTCACAACCATCTGTAAAGAGGTCTGGTGCCCTCTTCTGGCCTGCAGACATTCACACAGATAGAATATTGCATACATAATAAATAAATATCAAAAAAAATAGAAAGCCAAACTCTCACAAGTTGTCCTTTGCCCTCTGGATATGTGTGTCGCATGCCTCCCACCGAAAAAAAAATAGTTAATGTTTAAAAATTAAGTATTTGCCTCTTAATGCTCTTCAGGCAAATGGAATTAGGTGGTGCTCTCACTAGACTGATAAGAATGACCTGAGAGAAGCTGGGAGGCAAAATGAGTCCTCCCTTCCTTTTTACTCTTCCCTCCTTAGCTTTCTTTTCCTTGCTAGTTATTGTAGAACACCATTTATACTATCTGAATGAACATAATATCTATAAAAGGTCCCCACAGACTTTGAGCACTTATTTCATAAAACAAACTCACCAGCAGCCCAACATTCAAAGAGTATTTGTTGAAAGCTCCTTTTTGCTTGAAAAGAACATAAAGTTTTCTACGACTTGTAGCCAAGTAAGCTCCCAATGAATAACCTGGAAAGAAAACTAACCCTACTATCGGGCATCTTACCTCCACTCCAGCTGCTGCCAAGAGCCACCGGATGGACTCCATTCTTCCTCTTCCATTTAAGTAGTGAAGCACGGGCTTTCCAGTCATACTGAGAGATTCCTGACTAGAGAGAGAGAAGAGACAGAGACACAGAGGACAGTCTCCGAGGAGTTTATAGAGCAGAAGCACAAGGCAAAGAAAGCTTTCACTCAGAATTTTGGCCCCTAAACCAAGTTTCCCTCTGCCCCAAGACTGCCTGCACTCTGTTTCTCCCTGCCAACGAAGAATAGCCCCACAGACTGATTTCCAAATGCCTTTCAAAAAAAAACCTAATTGAATAACTGATAAAGCAAAGAAGCGACAAGTCTTTGCAAGCCAACAGCTGGAAAGAATTCAAGAGCAAGGCAGACCCGCCCCTCTTCCTGTGGCAGGTGGTGCCGATCAAATGTTCTGATTCTTTCTCTTTCTCTCTTTATGTATGGATCCCTGAGGCACCAGTGCTACCGCAGTAAGGAGTTGTGAGTGAGGAGCTGTGGATTTAGAGAAACACCACACAGCGGGACATTGGTGCTAAGAGAAGGCCGTTTATTGAAGGGCGAACGTGGTCTATATATACCAGATTGCAGCACTGTGGAAAAACCTAGGGTTCAGAAGTTCATGTTATTGAAGGGCCAAATTAGTTAACAACTAAGCGGAACAAGGAGCTTGAGGTTAGGCCAAGAGGTGTAAGATGTACCACCAGGAGATGCAAGATGTACTTGCTAGTAAAGGTCAGCAATAATAATAAACAGACATCCCAGGGGGAAGGGCCCAACAGATTCCTCTCCTCCCTTCCACAAAGACAAGCCTAGACTGGAGAAACAGTATGAAAAAGAGGGTGGGATTACTGGTATTACTTTGCTTTCAAAATTAATCTTGATAGCTTAATCACAGTGTTCTCTGAAGTCAATAGCAGATTGCAAAAGGAAATTTCTGTCATTCATGGGGATTTTAATAAAAATAATACAATTAAGCCAAGGGCTCCTTTTCCATATTATCTTTTCCCTTGGGAAGCAAAAGTTCTTTCAGAGACAAAAATGATATTCATTTTGAAGTAGTTGAAATAATAGACAAATCTAGAGGTCAAACGCCCATCTCTGTGTCCCAAGATAAACTATGAGGTTCTTGACCAGGTGATAGACCCTGAACATTCAATAGTACCTTGAAGTATCTGGACAGAGTTTGCCAGAAACCAAAAGGGCTTCAGGAGGTGGGCGGGGATGATGGTGTCTTTATTAGTTAGGTCGTCTTCATGGTATACATGAGAACTAATTTATTATACAGCATATCAACTGCCTCACCTTCAAATCCAAATCTCTACACATGAAAAGTCGAATGAAACAAATGTAGAGAAAGCAGTAGCTTGTGGAAAAACACTACTTCAAAATTCAGAATTAAAATATCTAATGAATTATTCAACCCTACTGCTTCATATTAGAATTTCCTAAGGGGCTTAATATACATGCCAGTTTCTCCATTGACAAAATGGCAGTGGTTGCATCAATGATGGGGGAAGGTCATTGGTAATAAACAAACTGCCTTGGTCCATTTTGATAGGCCATCCCTTAGGTGGGTGGAGTAGGCAGAACAGAATGCTGGGAGGAAGAGGAAGTGAGCTCAGAGGCCATGCTCCCCTCTCCTGGGCAGACGCAAGCGATGAAGCAAGTCACCAGGTCAGACATTCTGAATCTTTCCCGGTAAGACTGGCACTACACAGTTTATTAGAGATGGGTTGATTGGGATATCAGAATTAGCCAGTAAGGGCTAGAGCTAATGGGCCAAGCAGTGTTTAAATGAATACAGTTTGTATGTTGTTATTTCGGGGTATAACCTAGCCAGGCAGTCAGGAGCTGGGGCGGCAGGAATGCAGCCCAAGCTCCCACTACACATCAATGTCATAGGTTACTGAGATTTGCAATCTGCATTCACATACTGCATCTTTAAACTAAGACAAGGGGCTGGAACTCCATAAAACCCATCTTTCATGTCTTCTCTCTATTCGTTTCCTTCCATAACCATCAATAGCTCCTAAGCATCCCCCATTAGAGAGCTACAGCATGTGGAGAGACACGTGGCTAAATTCCTTAAACAAATTCAAAGCTATAAAACAAGGAACTTACCTCCTCCTTGGGAACATATGACCTCAAAGATGTGGAAGATTAAGATCAAAAACTCCTGTGGGAGTTACTGGAGAGGGAAGGAATTGGCAGGAGAGTTACCTAATCAGGACTTTCCTTTTGGAGGACTTTCCAGTTGGAGGGCTGGAGAGATGGCTCAGAGGTTAAGAGCACTGACTGATCTTCTGGAGGTCCTGAGTTCAATTCCCAGCAACCACATGGTGGCTCACAACCATCTGTAATGAGATCTGGTGCCCTCTTCTGGCCTGCAGGCATACAAGGAGGCCAAACACTGTGTACACAATAAATAAATAAAATCTTTAATAAATACTTTAATAAATAAATAAATAAAGGCAGTTGGAGGAAGTAGATAGCTGGGCAAACAAAATAAGTTCTTCCTCATGATTATGATAGACCAACTGATTGAGTTTGGGAACCATTATAGAAAATGATCCAGCCATGACAACATTCTCAGTAAAGACTCCAAGTTGGAGAGGTATCACATAGCCTATCAGCCTAAGGCATGAATAAAATAAAGCTCTTACATGTGAAAGTCTTCATGGTGTCTCCAGGAAGAGAAGGCTTTGGTAATGAGTCTAAGAAGAGAACTAACCATCACCCACTGCTTTCCTAATAATAACCATCACTTACTAAGCACATCTAGCTTCTCTAAGAACTGCTCTATAATCCCATCTCACCCCACATGGATTCTTGCCAATCATGGGTTGAAGCACATGGCTCCTCCCCCAAGCCCTGGCTGGTTGGACAAGACTGATTGAACCACCAACTGAAATCCAAGAATGAGATCTTCGTTGTAGGATGTCATTAGTGTTGAGATGCTGAGGCATTGCTTTGTTGTAGGGGTTTGTTCTGTTTGTTTTTACTCTTCACTCTATGGGGAGCCTGCTCCAAGCTTTTACCTTTCTCTATATCTGTATATCTTTTCTTTCCTTCTTACTCCACATCTGGCTGTGCAGCTGAGTGCCTGGCCCCTGGCTTCCTCCTCTCCTCTTTTTCTTGCTCCTCTCTTTCACACTCTTCTTCTATTTATTCTCTCTGCATCTCAGCCACACCCAGTCTCTCTCCTGCCTAGCTATTTGTCATTCACCTCTTTATTAGACCAATCTGGTGTTTTAGACAGGCAAAATATGTAATATAATATGTAATTATTTATAAATGAGACTTAGTCCATAATCTGTAAGTCACCTGAATATCTTACAAATGTTGTTTTATTTGTTGTTTTGTTTGAGATAGCCCACACTGGCCTGGAACTCACTATTTCTCCAGACTGCTGTCAGATTTGTGGCAATCCCCTTGCTTTAGCCTCCCGAGTACAGGTGTTATAAGCATGCACCTTATAGACTGCTTTCTTTGGGGGATCCATAATTTATTCAGTTGTGATCTGAAATTTTCTCCTTTATCCTCAAAGATAGGCATGGACAGCTGGTATCATATTTTTTAAAGATTTATGTATGTGTATGAGTGTTTGCCTATGGTCATCAAAAGAGCAAATAATCCAATAAAATTGGAGTACAGACTGCCGCGCCAGCGCGGGCTGGAACCAAGAGTCTCTGCGGAGGGTGTCCAGGTTGAATGAATACACAGAGCATGAGCTTGAGGTGGAACAGCTTCTCTTTATTGTCTGCTGGGCGGGTTGGTTTTATAACATGGCACCAAATGAGGAGGGGGCTGCGAAGGGACTGTAACCTGACCCTGGCAGGGATCAAGGACCCAGTCACCATGCACTTAAAATTCCTTCTTTCCCCGCTCCAGGAGCAGAGGGAATTTATTATGTTTTCCTTGCAGATAAGCACCTCAAATGGGGACAAGGATATCAACTCAGGGCTGCAGGTCCCACACAGACCTAAACAGGGAACTCTCCACAGAGAAATCTAAGACACTTAAGGAAATGTTCAACATCCTTAGTCATCAGAGAAATGCAAATCAAAACAACTCTGAGATTCCATCTTTTTTTCTTTTTTTTTTTTCTTGATACTTATTGAGCTCTACATTTTTCTCTGCTCCCCTCCCTGCCTCCTCCTCCTTCAATCCTCCTCCAAGGTCCCCATGCTCCCAATTTACTCAGGAGATTTTGTCATTTTACACTTTCGACTTCCCATGTAGATTATATCTATGTAAGTTTCTCTTAGTGTCCACATTGTTATCTAAATTCTCTGGGATTGTGGTTTGTAGACTGGCTTTCTTTGCTTTATGTTTAAAATCTTACACCTGTAAGAATGGCCAAGATCAAAAACACTGATGACAACTTATAGTAGTCACGTTTGTATTTCTTTTTGTTTGTTTGAGACAAGGTCTCACCATGTAATCCTCACTGGCCTGGAACGCACTATGTAGACCAGGTTGATCTCCAACTCACAGAGATCTACCTGTCTCTCATGCTTGCATCACTTCCTTTTTGAATCTGGGAACTCTTTTAATCTTTTTTATTTGCTTTTATTTAATTTTTTTCTTACACTGTATTTTGATCATACTCTTCACTCTTCCAATTCCTCCCAGATCCTCCACATTCATGCCCTTCACCTATCAATAGAAAGGAAAATAACGAAATGAAAAAAATAAAATCAAAACAGACAAATAAGCTAAAAATAAAAATCAATAAGATAAAAAGCATCAAAACAAAAAGCACAGAAAAAGCCATTGAGTCCATTTTGTGTTTGCCAACTCTTCCAGAGCATAGAGAGGAGGATATGTAGAAAACATCCCAGGTAAGGCTGTGTGTGCCAAAGTCTCTTACTCTTTGCACACTGTCCAGTTGTGGATCTTTGTTAATTACCATCTACCATAAGAAGAAGCTAAGAAGAGTTGAGCCTAGCTCTCATCTATGGATATACTGTTAAGTATTTCTATGCTCCTTTAACAGAATAATAAGCGTAGGTTTTCCCCTAGGTTTAAGACTTATCTAATCTCAGGTTCTTTGCCACATTAGCATTGTCAAGTATGGGTTCCATCTCATGTAATGAGCCCTAAATCTGTACAAGTAGTGTGTTGCTCCCATAGCACTTGTGGCACTAATGCACAGTGTATCTCACGGGCAGGTCACTGTTGTAGGTTGCTGTGTTCATATATGGGTGGTATTGGCAGTTACTTTTCTCCCCTCTGAAAAGTGAAAAGTACATTCCAGCTTCATGAATGCTAGCCAATAGGGGTGAACCTTCTAGTTGAGAATCAGCTTGATCTCTCCATGTCCAATGACATAAGTAAATTGTGTCTTCAACAATAGGGTCATACTCTCAGGTTATGGATAATAACCAAGATCTTTGATAACAGCCTGTAATGTCTGTTGGAGAAGGCCTATGGGACTTCTTTGGATGATGACTCAACAAGATGTAACCCATCCTTACACCTGGAGGTTTGACACGATGTCTTAACATATATAGTTGGGGCATTGTTTCTCCCATTATATTGTGACTCCCTTTAGTTTTCTTTCATATATGTACGTGTTTGGGGGAACTTCTACAGTTATTAAGTTTCCCTATGGCTTTTCAAAGGACTTTTAATGTTATTCTTCTCCATATTCCCTCCTTTACTACCCCGCCCTCCAATCCTCTTTTCAATTTAATCTTTTCTAGTTTCTGCTTTATCTCTTTATAGCATTATACTTTATTTCCATTTCATCTTCCTTTGAAGACCAATGTTTTCATTTCTTGAGAACCTGACCAAAACTATCTCCTTGTTCAATACAATTCTTTAGACAAGTATAACTGTGTACATTACTAGCTTCCATCTCTATTTTTTTTCTGAAATGGTCTTTCAACGTGCTTTTAAATTAATCCACTACTGACATGCATCACATACTAGAGTTGTCACCCCGCAAATGGATCCCATGCAATGGTTTGAGACATTCATAGAATTCTGCAACTATGGACCATCTGGTTCTAGAACACCCTTTTCACCTCAAAAGTGATGACAGCAGCGAACTCTATGTACGTGCTTTGGCAGCCAGTCCCTTCTCAACCCCTTCATCTGTAGCCAACACTAATCTGCTTACCACTTGTAGGGTGTTAAATGGTGTTGACTTCTCACCAGGTGAATCACATAGGACAGGCACTTCTTGCTTTCTTTCTTTTATGTAACATGGATTTTCAATGTTAGTCCTTGGGGCAAACTCCCTTGGAACATTCTCCCATCTATTCATCTGTTGATTGATATTTGGGGTTTTTTTCCAGATTTTGAATACAGGGGATGATGCTGCTATAAGCAATTTTAAATAAGTACTAGAAAAGGTGTGTTTTCATTTATCTTAGGTAGATTGTTTGTACTGAGTTTTCTGTGTCATTACTAGTTCTATTCAATGTATTGAGAAACTTCCCACAATTTTACACATCTTATTAACAATCAAGGAAGATGACCACATGCTCTGACCACGTGGGAGCACTCTGGGAGCATTAATCTGATAAGAAATCCTCCATGTAAACCCTGAGTCTTGTATCAACCTGTAAGAAACATTGTCAACTTGAACAGTTTATACATTTGTGGTCCTCATTTTTGAGATATCTGGAAATTAAAACTCAACTCTTCTAATCTTTTTCTTCCCCAATCTTGGTCTCTCAACACTCACTTTGTTCCTTGGCCGAAGTTTTTGTTCCCCTAGTGGCTAAGCCCCTGCAATGATGATTTCATCATTCCTGTTATTCCTATTGATAAGTTTGGAGAAACCTCTGTCCCTGTGCTATGTTCATGAACTACATCCAATTCAATATAGACACTCATTTGAGTTCACCTCAAGTATGGTCTCCTCTCATCTCCACTGGGTACTCCCATATTGGTGATGCCAATGTAGAAGAGACTCGTGGTATCTTATGGCTGTTCAACTCACTTCAGGTGGGACCCAGACCCTTCCTGTGGTGCCCATTGAAGTAAGAACAGAAAGGAACCATCCAAGGTTCTTTCTCTGTCTTCCCACAGAGATTCTGTTTGGTAACAATGAGTTGAATACTGCTCTGATCTGAGCCAGCTTCATCCCATCAGAGTCTACTGTGACTGTCACTGGACCACCAAATCTTTACTTTTTTATTGTTTTGGGGTTTTTTGTTGTTGTTTTATTTTTTGTTTTGTTTTGTTGTTGTTTTTATTGATTTTATCGAGTTATACATTTTTCTCTACTCCCCTCCCTGTCTCTCCCCTTCCCTTCAACCCTCTCCATGGTCCTCATGCTCCCAATTTACTCAAAAGATCTTGTCTTTTTCTACTTCCCATGTAGATTAGATCTATGTATGTCTCTCTTAGGGTCCTCATTTTTGTCTAGGTTCTCTGGGATTGTGATTTGTAAACTGGTTTTTTTTTTTTTGCTTTATGTTTAAAAACCACATATGAGTGCGTACATATGATAATTGTCTTTCTGGGTCTGGATTACCTCACTCAAAATGATTTTCTAGCTTCATCCATTTGCCTGCAAATTTCAAGATGACATTATTTTTCTCTGCTGTGTGGTACTTCATTGTGTAAATGTACCACATTTTCCTTATCCATTCTTCAGTAGAGGGGCATTTAGGTTGTTTCCAGGTTCTGGCTAAGACAAACAATTCTGCTATGAACATAGTTATGGTACATTTTCACTTTTTTTTAAAGAAAGAAAGAACAAAGAGTAAAATGTGTATAGACCCCATACTTTCAAGATGGAAAAAATGCTTGGTGAAATGACTACTAGAAAATGACAATTACCTGATAATCTCACCAGTTTATGTAAAATATAAATAGGGTCAGAGCATTTGTCTTTCTGTTTTCAACCCTTTTCTTGTCAATATTCTTTGCATTTAATCTATTTGTTCGTTAATGTTTCACACCCCATCCTGATATATTGTACATTCCTTATTTCTTTGTGGTTTTAGTTCATCTTCATATTTGAGGGTTTTGTTTAATTGTTTGAGACAGTCTTATGTAGCCCAGGCTGGCCACACACTCAATATATAACCAAGACTAACCTTGGCCTTCCAGTCCTCCTGCCTCCACCTCCCCAGTGTTGAGATTACAAGTGTGCACCATAATGGCAATTAAATGCAAACTAAAAAGTCAGGTTTTACTTGATTTAAAATAGTATCTATGATTTGAAAAACTACTAACTGTAGCATCCAAGAAGATAGACATGAAGATTTGGTGGATTCTGTGTTGGCCTGAGTTGGCTCTAACCTTGGTTCTGTCTTGTATAAGCTCTGTTATGCAGATAAAGCTCAATCTTAGTTTCTTATGTAAAATGGAGGTGGAATCCTGTTGGGGGTTTTTTTGTTTGTTTGTTTGTTTGTTTGTTTTAGCATGCTTTGTGGAATTGTTTGACATTTCTACATGGATTACACAGGTATGAAAAACAGGGTCTGTCTGGGTCTGTGACTTACACACCAGGTGAGCAAGCAGAAGACAGACAGCTATGAAAATACCTGCAGGCTCTGACCCTTCCTTCATAACCAGTTGTATGGCTGACCCAGGGAGAATGAACCATAGAGAGTTCGTTTCTATAACTACTGCCCCTATGTTTTGTGGATACACGGGTTTTGCCACAAACACCTTCCCAGATCTTAGAATCTAAAGGCCTACAACAGGAAAGACTTAGACTCCCAGTAAGACTTTAAGGTTTGAGGAGCCCTCACCCTTTAGCTCATAGCCAAGTCAAGCAACCATTAAAAGTATCACAGGAGCAGCAGGATGTTTACATTAAAGTATCTGTCACAGTTTACACAAACTGTATGATGAGCAAACCCAAGCAAAGACAGTGGCAGTTGTAAAGAAATATTTATTTTACCAAGTCTTTTAAAAATCAGCCTATTTACAAAGGATTTATTAGGTCACACAAACAAAAGTCATTTGTGTTATTACTACATATAATTTAAAAAGGGTTATTTTATTTCATTGTATTTCAGTGAGACAATGTCTCATTGTGCTTTTTAGGCCTGGCTTGCCGAGAACTTGGTATGTAGGCCAGTCTAGCTTCAGACTCTCAGAGATCGCCCTGCCTCTGTGACGGCAGAACTAAAACTGTGTGCCACCATACTCACCTAATTTTTACCTTCTTAGTACCTAATTTATCTAAGGAAATTAAAATAGGTTTTGAATTTAATGTAAAACACATATACATAGACACAAACACAAATTCATGGATTCTGGCTGTTTCTGACAGGTTTTATGCTATTATCTATAAAAGTTAGAGTCATATCTCAGGTCATATAATTTAAAATTTAGTAATTGAGTTTGGCAAATGAGACAGAGCATGCTAGCAAAGGTGGCTTAAAATGTTATTTGCTCAGATTTCAAAGAGTCAGTGAGTATGTCAAGGGGACTTTATAATTTTAAATTCACTTCTCCTTTTGAGTATTTGGTTCATTTTCACTCTGTCCATAAAGCAGGTAACATATAAACAGAAACTAAAAAAGAGTTGTTGCCAACCTTTCTGGAGTGAAGGCAATTTTGCTTCTTGTTTGTTTCATTTTTCCAGACAGGGTTTTGTAAACAGAAGTTGCTGTCCCACCTGGTCATTCAGCCATTCAGACCCAAAAAAAATACACAGAGACTTATATTAATTATGAACTGCTTGGGCTAATGTCTCAGGTTTATTATTAACCAGTTCTTACCATAATTCTTGTCTATGTTTAGTCACGTGGCTTCATACCTTTTCTCAATAAGGCATTCTCATCTTGCTTCCTCTGTGTCTGGCTGGTGACTGACTCTCTGCCTTTCCTCTACCCAGAATTTTCACAGTCTGGTTGTCCTGCCTATACTTCCTGCCTGGCTACTGGCCAATCAGTGTTTTATAAAGTGAATATGGGTGATAAATCTTTACAGTGTACAAGAGCATCATGGTAAATCAGGGTTCCTGGAATTCATTCTATAGACCAGGTTAGCCTCAAACTCAGCCTGCCTCTTCCTCCTTAGTGCTGGACTAAAGGCGTGAGCTGCCACTGCCTGGCTCAAATCAATTTTCTAAGGAAAGGAATTTAGAGACTGCCTAAATTTCCAGGTGCTTGCTTTATTTTATGTCTTTATTTGCACATGCTAGGAAAGTACTGTGTCACTAAGCTCATTCCCTGTCCCTGGATGCTTCTATTCAAGGTCATGAACCGCCACAGACTGGCAGAAGAGCAACGCCCAGGTGGAGAGTGAATGGGGGGGGAATAAAAAATGGGGACATGACTGCTCCTAGGCATGGTGGGGATGAAGGTTTATTATCAGAAAAAAAAAAGGGGACATGATTGCTCCTAGGCATGGTGGGGATGAAGGTTTCTTATTAGATAAAAGGGAGAGCATAGCCAGAGGCAGCAACATCTGGGAAAGTCCAGAGTAAACATGACCCAGAGCTGAGCCACATGAGGGGGACCAAGGAGAGTAAAGGGTATAGCAAATGGCTGCTTTACATAGGGAAGGGCAGCTTGGGGAAGGGCAGCTCAGCCCCTGGGGCAGAGAAGTGTAGAGTGTGGTGCAGGGTGTGCCAGTCTTACCCTGTAACAGGCATGGACCTAGGGATGCTGGAGGAACCTGGTCAGGTTGGCTTTGGTATGTTACATAAACACATCAGTTGCCTTTGTCCTGGGCCTGAGACCAAACAGAGGTTCCTCTGAGATAGCTGGCGCAGGTCATCTTCTGAGATATCACTATGCAGTCTGAGAATTACTTTTGGGGAAGCATCAGTTAACTCACTGTTTTATTTTATTTTAAACACCAGTTTCTTATGTTGGGTTTTACTCTCCTTTTTTCACCTGAGTGCACAAATTAAACTGTCAAAACATCTCCAAGCACTTAGGAGTTTGTGACCAGCAATGAAAATAAAACACACACACTCTGCCTTCCTCCCTGCCACCCCCAGATTAAGATGAAGCAAATTACAGGCACCTCCTTATTTTGTTTTAATACCTGCTACAGTTTGACTGTGAAAAGTGTCCACCAGTGCACAAAACCAAACCCTTATTCTCCATCTTGTGGTCCTGCCCGGGGAGGTGGCAGAATTCTGGCTGTGTGGTGCAGACATTTGAAAGTTACAACCTGGTCCTGCTTGTAGCCTGAGATCTCCGATTCTTGGTCACCAAGATGTCAGCAAGTCCTCCAGCAAGCTCCCACTGCCAGACTATGCCAGTCTGGCTGCCATGCCTCTGTGCCGTGATGAACTAAAGCCATTGAACCATGAGTCAAGACAAACTTCTCTCCACTCCTTAATTTGTTTCTACCAGTTGAGCGGTACGGAGACAAGAAAAGTTATCCAGTATATTACCTGTGCCTGAAACCCAAACGATTCCCACACAAAGCCAAACTGTCTGCCACACTATGAACACACTCTCCCTTCATTCTGACAACTATTCAACACTCCAACTCCTTCCACTGTCCCTGTGGATTTTCTTAAAGCCAAATAATTTGTATCAAAATCCAAACAAGGTCCACACAAAGCAGGTGCACATCATGTGTGAATACAAGGCTAGGGGACCCTGGGTCACATTAAGATGATTTGAGGATAAACACTGGGGAGACCAGGAGGGATGTGTTAAGTCAGAATGCTCTGAGGGTCAGGGTAGAAGGGCTCCTTACTGAGCAAGTGCAGACAGCAGCCTGAAAAGGGGGGTGCTGACAGCTTATGCTCCCTGGAGGCAAGGCTGGGTGAGCTCAGAGATAAATGTGAGCAGCAGCTCCCAAGGAGTGGTTTCTGCTTAGAGGCACACAGCTGGCTAAGGAGAGCATTAGTCATCCCGTTCCCTTGCCATGCCTTTGGGCATGCTGTCTTTTCTTTCTGGCTTGTGGCCTAGGCTGGTCTTCTTTCTGTCCTAAATGGAACCTGATTGTCTTAGTTAGGGTTTCTATTGCTGTGAAGGAACACCATGACTTTGGCAGTCTTCCAAAGGAAAACATTTAACTGTTTTGGCTTGCTTACAGTGCAGATGTTCAGTCCATTATCCACACGACTGGACATGGTGGTGTGCAGGCAAACCCAATGCTGGGGAAGCAGCTGAGAGTCCTACATCTTGTAGGCAAGAGGAAGTGGACTGTCTCACTGCTGTGACTTGAGTATATATGATACCTCGAAGCCCACCTCCACCGTGATCCACTTCCTCCAACCAAACCGCACCTACTGTAACAAAGCCACACCTCCTAACAGTGCCACTGCCTTTGGGGGCCCTTTTCTTTCAAATCACCACATCAGTGGACAGATGGCTACAAAGGTCCTTCACTTATTCTCTTCCTTGATATTGGTCCCTCTACTAAAATATATA